TTTTCCCTGCTGCCAGCCCGTCCCTTTCCATCCGAAGGGAAGAGGACAGTCATCTGTCTGATTGTGAGGCCAGGAGAGCCTGCTGCCCCTGAGCCACGTTATGGCGGGGGTGAGGGGGGGGCACCACATTAAAAACCGCAGGCCTGGGGGCTTTCCTGTCTTGCCCCGTCCTCTTGCATGTCAGGTAGCATAGAGCCATCTACACCGTGGATGCTTTGCTCCATCGGACTTAAGTGTATTTCCACCTTATTATTGAGAACTCTGGAGGGGAGTGAGATAAGGCGGTGGGTTTAGGCACTAAACCTTACTCTCTAGTTGTGGCTACACATTGGTTTCATTTCGTCTGTGGTCTCTTAAATACTCCTTCCCCAGTATCATTTATTATGGACCTTGTCTTATCCATGGAAACCTCCCCACAGGCCCTGGGGTCCTCGACAGCTCTTTTAAGCTCATGATGAGCAGAGAGAACCACCTTTCCTCATGAACGGAGACACCGAGTGGTCCATGACCTCCGCGGGGACTGTCGAGTAGTTCACCATGGAATTTTGCTTCATAACATCAAACGAAGTGTGATGGACAATTTTATCCAGGATGCTGTCATCCAGCTTTTTCCCAATAAATTCTCCCAGCTTCCGGATTTCATGCTTTGGGTTCTGTGATCAGAGTGAAAAGAAAAGTGAAGATTTGATATAAAACAGTTTTAAAAATATTGCATTGAATTAATAATGGTGATAAGTAACATAAAATCAAAAAACAATCCTGCCTCCCAAATACTGAACTTTCCAGAAATAACTCATTTTAATACTGTGACACAGGTTTTTAAAAGTTAACCATAGTCCTAACGGGTTTGGCTCAGTGGATAGAACATCGGCCTGGGGACTGAAGGGTCCCAGGTTCGATTCTGGTCAAGGGCATGTACCTTGGTTGCAGGCACATCCCCAGTGGGGAGTGTGCAGGAGGCAGATGTTTCTCTCTCACTGATGTTTCTAACTCTCTATCCTTCTCCCTTCCTCTCTGTAAAAAAATCAATAAAATATATTAAAAAAAATTAACCATAGAAACCAAGATGGCGGCATAAGGTATATACCTATCCGTGTAGCCCCCCACAAACCACATTAAAACTACAACTAAAAGACAAAAAGGCTATCATCCAGAATCACGGGAAAGCTGGCTGAGTGGAAGTTCTACAACTAGAAGGAAAGAGAAAAGCAATTGAGGCTCGGTGAAAGCTGCGCAGGCGCCAAGAGCAGAGGTACAGAGGCGCGCAAACTGGACTGCACCTGGGTGCACGGTTTTATTCAATCGGGAGAAGCAAGCTCCCGACTGTCCGAGCTCATTTCCGGCGAGACTCTAGGGACCCAGACTCCTATGGGGAGAAACTGGACGGTCTGGCATCGGGTCGGAAAGCAAGGGTGGCTTTCTTGCAGAACTGCTCACAGGGATCATTGCTACTGTGGGGGCCGGGTCTAGGTGACATGGGGACACAGAGACCCGGAGATGGCTGACAGACAGGCATCACTGTTTTCTCTGCCCTGGTG